AATTATTAATTTGTAACCAATCTAAGTGATAAACATTCATTTTGGGAAAAAAGTTTATTTATCTGTAGAATATGTGTTCTGTTCTGTAACGATATCAAACATCTACTCCAAAACCGGGAGAGACCGGACAATAAACGTGTGATACAATTCGCCGGTCACTAGTAAATCCCGGTCAAAATAGACTGGGAGAGATCGGGAATTACCGATAGGAGTACATCCATCTATAAATAGATTTTCGGAACGTTTAACTCATCATTCTATTTACAGCTTTCGGATACATGTACAACAATAACACACCATAATATCCCACTGTGTACTACAAAATGGTAAATAAAAAACCCCGAAGAGCGCGATGTATTGACGGAAAAGGTTATTTCATTTGAAAATGTTTGCATTGCGAAATTCTCCACATCGTTATTTATTGTACATATCGCGACATTTCATTTTTAATTAATAATCAAGCATCCTCATACCGATCGGAATGTTCGGCTTTTATTATAACCGACTAAAAATGCCCGAGAAGTTGATGTCGCCCTTTCACAAAATCTGATTTCATTCCATAAGGGCGCCAAAAACCCTTCTCAAACTAAGACTGGCTAGGACATATTAGATATATGTTAATGGTAGGATAGAAAGATTTTGTTTCTTTCTTGAAATCATAAAATAATAATTTGACGAGCCGTTTGTATCTTATTAATAAACATTTTTGCTAGTATTTTGTGTAATGTATGACTATCCCCAATGCCAATGGTGTAAATTGCCAAATAGTGATATACAAGCACTTTTCAGTTAAATAAATACTGACCTTCCAATTAACAGCTTGGCACTGATAAGATTCTACCCAGGCGTTGCCACATAATTATACTGTTACGAGCCAGGCGTAACGAGAAAGAAAAGCCAGCAACAAACTTGTAACAATAACAAATTTATTACAGAAAAATTATTAAAGAAAGAAAAATAAAATAACAAATTATGTTTACAAATACCTGAAGTCCAAATAAAAATGAAATCTTAAATGTCTAGTCTGATCCTGGAATGATCCTTTTTGAATAACACAGTTAAATCAAAGTTAAATCCAAGAACACTATAGAATAAATTCCCACAATGAAATCCACAAGAATAATTTAATCTATTTTGAAATAATCCAAGCTCCAATAAATCACTTAATATCCAAGTTGAATAATACTCCAAATATATTGATGACTTAAAACGTAACTGAAGACTTAAAAGATCACTGATGACTTAAAGATAAGAGTAATGAAAAATGTCTCCTTATATATATTAACTAAGAAGTTTCTAGAATAGTCTTCCATTTACTACAGTAATCTAGCAACTTCAACAATAAAGATCATTCCAGAAATTTCTATCTAAATATAATGCATGAGTTTTCTACAACAGTTAAGAACGTTCTAGTACATACATGTAGTTTATGTTCTAAAAATAGAACAACGATAATATTGGAAATACCAACTGGTCAGATATAAATTATATACATGTAATATGTTGCATACATAACAATACTAAAACATAAGAATCAATATTTACGTGGAAAAGGAAGACTTTAGACTTCAAAGACTTGCGTTAATTGATCGCTGCCTTTCAGAGTACTCCTAATTAGCAAGGAAAATATAAAAAATACATTTTCTTGTGAATAATGCAAATTTTAAAGTGGTTTGCCTCCGGTAAGTAAATTATTTAAAAAGAAAAATGAAAATAAAACACTTCAAAAACAAACATAATTATCTTAAAAGGAGTGTTCACAGTGAAGTTTAAACTTTGGACCAGGATAGAACTCTTTAGTTGAGTAACAGATTAAGAGATATATCCGTGTATTTTTAAAAGTTATAGGTATTTATCTGTGGAAGTTTTAGAATATATTCCATGTAGTATGTACTGTTGTAGAATAAATGCAGAGGAGTTGTGTATAAGTTGATTGATATATTGAAATCGACTTCTTAGATCTAAAACCTGTTAATGTCAAAACAAACCTGAAAAATTGTGTAGTAATTAATTTAACTGTTATACAGCTCTGCAAGAAATTATCTTCTTCGTACTAATACATCGTGTATATCCAGTAATGCCGGAATGTGAAAATAATGCTTTGTGTAATAATTAACGCAGAATTTGTGCAATAAATGGCGGATACCTGACAGGATTTCCAACGCGGTAAGTAAACTGGCCAATATATTTTTATTTAAAAGGAATAGGTCGTATGCGGCCGCGAATACATTATTATTTATTTCTCATCTAGATTATTTCCACTTTATTGCTCATTTCGTAAAAATGATGGCTTGACGACAATTTTGAACGTGATTTTGGCTTATAATATCGATTTTTGGTAGGCAAGTAACATTAACCAAACTTCTGGTAATGTAGAAAATGGTAAAATGTAATTCAAAACGTAATTGATCAAAAATGAAAGTATAAACGGACGCAATCGTATGGAATGTTTTCATCGATCGTGTGAAAACCTTAGACCAATGAAAATACTCCGAATAAAAGATAAAGGGGAGAACACTCTGCAGAACCGTTACTTGCATTACGATTTGAAATTTTACATAGTAATAGTTTCATATGATGTTTTGATTGAACAGTTTTTACAAATAATAAAATATTTCTAACATATTGATATGCACAATAAAAAAGAAATATTCATTCATTTCGAATAAACTGCCGTTTAGTCGTGTAATATTGACAACTAGAAATGTGTCATCATGCCACGGATGCCACCGCATGCAGCCAAAATTTCAGATGGTGCTTTAATTATTTTTTTCATTTTAAGTTCAAAGCCCTTAAAACTTTTCAATGTTAACACAAACCATTTTCATACAATGTTCAAGGCACTGAAATTATTCAGTCTAAACCTTTTAAAAATAGCATATTGCATATTTGTAGCCAAAATAATAGCTAAAAGTAAGAGTGCTGAAAGTGAAAGTTCAAAATTTTTCCAACATTCAGGAAAGATAAGTTTGTCTTAAATCATTGAACTACAACCAAATTCAAACTTAAACTGCTTATTCCTAAGATGTATCTATATTATTTTCAAAGTGAAAGGGACATAACTCTGCCAAAAAATCATCAAACCATGACCAAATTCCAACTTGACCTGCCCATTCCTTTGACATATCCATATGTCAAATTTAAGTTGAATATGTAACACTGTTGGGTAGATAATGAACAGAAACTGTAAATTTCATATTATTTTCAAAAAATAGATAAATACGGAATCCCTAAAGAAAGCCCAACACGGCAAAATTAAAAATGTTGCAGGCTCGGTTTGATTGAGCCTGTTCATGGACGGTAATGGAAAGTGCAAGTTACCGTCCACGCCCCCTATCACCGGCTTAAGCAGAATTCAACATTTAAACGTGAAATAGTAAAATTTTGAATTTAGAAACATCCGCAGATGTGTTCATACGGCGGTTATCATAGAACCTTCAATGTGACACTTCGTGCCATTCCATGAAAAGCGGCGTATGGTCCCCAAATAATAAAAAGCGTGTGCCCTAAACGAGAAAACAATGGGCGGAACTAAATAAAATGGAATATTGAAAGGGGATCAGAGGTTATGAAGCCTGCGTATCACAGATAAGACGTCAAAAGACAAATTTAAAAAGCAGGCAACATATCCTAAGGGTGATTCAACATTATTCAAGTAGGAATAATGGAACCACCCAACTAGAAAACGCCGAAAAGTTGAAACTAAAAATACCACAAGCACAACAATAATGTCGTGCTGAACGATCTTCAAGGATCGAAAATATAACATCATTGATTAAATGTACGGGGAGACTTTTTACAGCCGCCACACGGCACAAATAACACGGATGTGATCATAAAATAGATAAATACGGAATCCCTAAAGAAAGCCCAACACGGCAAAATTAAAAATTCAAAGTGAAAGGGGCATTATTCTGCCAAAAATCATTGAACCATGACCAAACTCGAACTTGGCCTGGGCATTCCAAAAACATATCCATATGTCAAATTTGATTTCAATGTGTTGTACCATTGGGGAGATAATAAACGGAAACTGAAAATTTCATATTACTTTCAAAGTGAAAGGGGCATAACTCTGCCAAAAATCATTGAACCATGACCAAATTTGAACTTGACCTGCACATTCCTCTGACACATCCATATGTCAAGTTTGAGTTGAATGTGTTGTATCTTTGGGGAGATAATGAACGGAAACTGAAAATTTCATATTATTTTCAAAGTAAAATGGGCATAACTCTGCCAAAAATCATCGAACCACGACCAAATTCGAACTTGACCTGTATTTTCTCATGACATATCCATATGTCAAGTTTGAGTTGAATATATTGTACCGTTGGGGAGATAATGAACGGAAACTGAAAATTTCATATTATTTTCAAAGTAAAAGGGGCATAACTCTGCCAAAAATCATCGAACCATGACCAAATTCGAACTTGACCTGTATTTTCTCATGACATATTCATATGTCAAGTTTGAGATGAATGTGTTGTACCGTTGGGGAGATAATGAACGAAAACTGAAATTTCATATTATTTTCAAAGTAAAGGGGCATAACTCTGCCAAAAATCATTGAACCATTACCAAATTCGAACTTGACCTGTATTTTATCATGACATATCCATATGTCAAATTTGAGTTGAATGTGTGCAACCGTTCTTAAGATAATGAACAGAAACTGATGATGACGGAATGACAGAAGGACGGAAGGACGGAATGACGGAACAGGGTAACACTATATGCCCGGCCATTACATGGCGGGGGCATAAAAACCAAGCGGTCAGGTCTCTGTCGACTTACACTTGCGGTGACTTCGAGATAGCATGAACCAACAAGGGAAGTCACTCGTGACGTACTATCTCCCCGCTTACCAAAAAGTGGTTCCAAATTATCCTTCTTTATATGGGTCTGAATTACTCATTCAAGCTCTTTAATGATTGGTTCAAACAATGAGAAATTATCCAATGAAATTAGTCTTTACATTAATCTTCCTGAACATTCCTTCCATGCCATGTGCGCGTTATAATTGGAAAGGACAGAGTGGATCGAAAAGTTCATTTCACCGTTTGAAGAGGTTTTACAGGGTGTTCAAGCTCAAAAACAGGGTAAGAGTGTTGCTAAATCATTTTTCAATTAATATATGTGAAGTAAATGACCGATAGTTTGTGTAAAACATTTGATATTTGATGGAATTTATGTCAACCCTGCGAATTTCCGAGCGATTACGGAAATTACCGATGGTGAAATATCGTAAAACAAGACCCCCATGATTTCAAATTGAAATTCAATGCTTTTGGTTGATTAATGTACATAAGCGACTGGTTTTCGAAACAGATTGACACTTTAAGCGTGGAATATTTATTTCATATTATGTAAATTGTTCACGCGCTTGTACGTCTGTTCTCCAAAGCGGGATCGGTAACTTGTGTTTTTTTTCTTGTAGCATGAACGAATGATTTTTTAGAATTTGAGGAGTTGATCTTATAACTTGCAGGCATAATATTTAATGTTTGAGAAGACATATACTTTTTGTTTTAATAGAATATTGCGAAAATTAAATTTTTAATGATTTTTTTGTAACACAGGCGACAGACTTTTAAAAATGGCAATTTTTTTGTGACCAAAAATTGGTTCCAAAGTGTTAATGGATATAATGAGACAATTTTGACATACATTTACAAATCTTTTCCTTTTTCTGGGTAATATACATTCTTAGCTAAATAAAAAAAAAACACTTATGACCATAAAATATATCAATAATAATTTTTATTTATTTTATACATTAATAAGAATACAAGCGGAAATAGGCTTTTTTTGCGAATAAAAGCACTACCTTTCTAAAACTTTGACTGTTTTCTGTCTATTTCTTTGTTTTCTGTCTATTTCTTTGAGTGTTTAAAGTGTGTGGGATATGGCGAGTGGATATCATAAGTTTGTGGATGAAGATTTTGGATATACGGATTTAGATGAAGGTCAGGATACCGAGGAATCTAGCGTTTTCTTTGCTGTCTCAACACACAACAGATTCGAGGAAAATGGCGGAGATTTTAAACAAATAACAAAGAAGAGGAAAAAGGGTAGTAGTGCTGGAAGTAGTGATTGCTTTAATGGATTAAGAACGGATGATAAGTTAGAACGCATCTATGATCAAGTGACTAAAAACTATGACAAAATACGAGGAATTGAGAAGCAGCAGTTATCACTACATAAGGAGCTTCATAATGTAAACAAAGGTTTCCAGGACCTAGATGAGAGACTGAGTAAAATGGAGGATTTGTGTAAAGAACAAGACTGGAAAGTAAAGGTATTGTCTTACAAATCAGTTGATTGTGAATCAAGAAGCATGAGAAATAATTTAGTGATATATGGTCTCACAGAAAAATCACATTTTCAAAATTGTAAAAGCCTCGTTTTGGGTTTTCTAGAAGATGAGATAGATATTGACACCACGGATATGTATATTGAGAGGGCACATAGACTTGGAAGGCTTACACAGGATAAATATAAGGGTATGACTGACCCAAAACGCCCGATGGTTGTGCGATTTAGGGATTTTGTTGATACTGAAAACATCATGAACAAAGCTTATAAGCTGAAAGGTAGTAACTTGGGAATAGACAGACAGTATCTGAGAGAAATCGCAATGGCCAGGGCCTCATTATATAAAACAGCAGAAGCTAGAACAGCGAGATCAAATAGACAGAAAGTACAAATAAAATATCCGGCTGTGTTGTTCATAGATGGGAAATGTGTGAAAGATATGTTCCCGGAATGGTGGAAAGTGTTAGGAACTGATAGTATGAACCCGGCAGATAGGCTGAATGATAACAACTACTGGAGTGGATTATCGGACAGACGGATGAACAGAACGTATTCATGTACAACAGTAGAAGACAACATCAGTGGGCAGGATGATGAGTTAAACTCTGTGCAAAGTGAAAGTGAAAGTACACGCGCGTGTTCAGATGTAAACAATGTGTCACGTGATCAACAACAAGCGATGGGTAAGAATAAAACAAGCATAAATAGTGACGAAATAAAGTTACCGAGAGAAGATGTAGTCCTTAGCAAAACTCAAGTATCAGTAAAAAATATCAAATACAATTTAAACAATGATAAACGTACCAACACACAACAGAAGCAAAATAAGAACATACAACGCACTGGAATTCCCCATAACGGTATGACGTCTCAATCTTAATATAGTACTCGAGCTGCGTGGGGTAATGTGAAACCGGATATTGGGCGTAAAGCGGAATCCCATAATAAAACTGTACAGGGAAATGTGAAACGGACGAATAATAGCACGGCGACGACCAATGACAATACAGGGCAGAAATAGGACAGCAGGGGTGAACATGAGGTCAAGTTTTGTTTACTAAATGTACAAGGGCTCACAGGGAAAACATACAATAAACTAGACTCCAGTGAAATGAAACATTTATTCGAAAATAATGATATTGTTCTTTAACGGAGACATGGTCAAATGATCTTTTTAACTATGAAGTTACAAACTTTGATTATTATATTTTACATAGAAAATTAAAATCTAAATGTGCAAAAAGAGACAGTGGTGGTTTAATAATATATGTTCATCATAAACTAAAACAGTATGTTGAACTTGTTAAATTTTCAGGTGACTGTTTGATATGGCTGAAATTTAGTAAATCATTGTTTAATTTTGAAAATGATTTATTTGTGTGTTTGACTTATAACACCCCAAAGGGTAGTAGTAGGGAAAATATTGATGATCAATCTATATTTGAAATTTTACTTGATGACATGTTGAATTTTGAAAATATGTACAATGATAAATGTAATTTTATTTTAACTGGAGATTACAATGCTAGAGTTGGGGAAAGATTAGATTATGTTGAAGAATCTTACCATATTTTACATGATTTTTTTCCAGAAGATTATATACAAGATGAAATATTGCCTAGGAAAAGTCTAGATAAAACTGTGAATGAATATGGAAAATTACTGTTAGAGTTTTGTAAAGCTTCTGGTGTTAGAATATTAAATGGCAGATGTTGTGAAGATAATAATGTGGGTAAATATACATGCATTAATGCACAAGGCAGCAGTGTAATAGACTATGTTTTATGTAGATCAGATTTGATACAATTTATTTCACACTTTGAAGTGAGTGACCCAAATATTTTGTCTGATCATTGCTGTGTGCACTTTAATCTAAAATCTTGTAATGTAGTAATAGCGTTATGAATGAATTTGTAAATATATGTCAAAATGTTGATGGTGCTGTAAGTAGCCATGAAATAGATCAATCTTTGACAAATTTCTGTAATATATTACAAGATGTATGTAATCCATTATTTAAAATAAATGTTACAAATAACGTTGGTTCTAACATAAGAAAAAATAATGTATATTATGATAATGAGTGTAAAGATTTGAAAAAAAAACATATTATAGATGTCTGAATCTTTGGAGAAATAATAAATGTGATGAAACAAGGGCGGAAATGGTACAAGCTCGTAGTAATTATAAAAATACTATTAGGAAAAAGAAATTTATTTATGATAAGGAACAAACACACAGATTAGAAAATGCTAGGCTTTGTAATGCTAGGTTATATTGGAAATTGTTAAAAGGCACTGTTCATGAAAATAATAAATGTAAGCTAACCACAGATGATTTTCAAAGATTTCTTTAAATTTGTAAATGATCCCGAGTCTGTATTTTATCAAGCTGATGAAGATGTCTTATATTTTAATGATAGATACTTAAATGAAGAACTAAATGTCATGTTCTCTGAACTTAATGTTCCTTTCACTGGTACTGAAATTTTAAATGCTTGCAAACAGTTAAATGCTGGTAAATCAGCAGGGCCTGATTATTTACTAAATGAGTTTTTTAAGTTTGGATCTGATTTTGATCACTTTTTACAGGTTATAGTTTCTTTGTTTAATAAAATGTTTGATATAGGTTACTTTCCATCAAGTTGGACAGAAGGTTTTATTGTTACCTATTCATATAAAAAAGGAGATATAGATAACCTTAATAATTATAGGGGTATTACCCTTCTTAGCATCTTTGGGAAACTTTTTACAAAACTAATAAATGAACGTTTAAATATATGGGCTGAAAAATACAATGTGTATATAGAATCCCAGGCTGGTTTCAGAAAAAAACATGAGCACTATTGATAATGTTTTTATATTACATGGTGTTATAACACATTTATTAGATAATAATAAAAAGTTGTATGCCGTTTTTGTAGATTTCACTAAAGCTTTTGATTATTTGGTAAGAGATGTTATTTGGTATAAATTAATTTAATTTGGAGTGAGAGGTAAAATGTTAGATATTATTAGGTCCATGTATGAGAATGTAAGATCAAGAGTAAAATACAATAATACTATTAGTGAAGAGTTTGTATGTTACTTGGGAGTAAGACAAGGCGAATCCCTTTCGCCATTTTTATTTTCTATGTATTTAAATGATATAGAAGAATATTTTATGTTAAATGGTTTTGAAGGTATTGACTTAGGTATTTTAAAGATATTTTTATTATTGTATGCAGATGATATAGTGATTATGTCTGAAACAGAGGTGGGCTTACAAAAAGGATTAAGATTATTAGAAATATATTGTGATAGGTGGAAATTAAGTGTTAACTGTACAAAGACAAAGGTTTTGATTTTTAAAAAAGGGGGTAGACTTAGACAGAATTTGAATTTTTATTATAAAGGTCAGTCAATTGAAATAGTTAAAAAGTTTACATATCTAGGCATTGTTTTTTCTGTCGGTGGATCTTTTAATATGACTTTTGAAATACTCTCTGGTCAAGCATTGAAGGCGTTGTATAAACTTGAAAAAGAGCTGATAAGATTCCCTTGAATGTCAGTTAAACATAAACTGGATTTATTTGATAAACTTATTTTACCAATTCTTAACTATGGATCACAAATATTGGGTTTACTTGATAGTCATGTATTAGAAAATATTCATTTAAAGTATTGTAAGAAGTTGTTAGGAGTTAAAAGACAAACACAAAACAATTTTATCTATGGTGAACTTGGAAGGACATCTTTAAAAACAATGAGAGCTATTAATGTTATAAAATACTGGTTAAAAGTTG